TCTCTCTCTCTCTCTCTCTCTCTCTCTCTCTCTCTCTCCTCCTCCTTAACCTCCAAAACTATCTTTTCCTTCTCTTCCAAATCCCAAGGTCAACCCTTACCCTCTCACCCCTTTCCCCTTGGCATGCAACTAACCCTTCCCCCACTCACTTGTTACATTGCCAAGGTACGAAAGGTGAAAGAACTCTGAATCTCACTTGGTGGAAGAAGAGGGCAAGTAGAGGGCTGACGGCCCCTTGTGCCATAAGGAAGGGAGAGCTTGACAGGCTTGACGGTTGATAAAGTCCGAGAAGGGCTAGAAAGTGCTGCCAAGTAAAAGAGAGGTCAGTTGACTCAACCAAAACCCCGACTGCTTGGCTAAGAGAAGAGAGTGCCATGGACAAAGAAAGAGAATGAAAAGGGAGGAATTTAAGGGCAAAGAGAATTAGGCATGTGGGAGGGATTATGTGTTGACCCCAAGTGGGGTTTGTATCTGTGTACATTGTGTTGAGCGTGCAGGTGAGTAGATTTAAGTCGTCTTGAGCTGGATTGAGCCCTGGTATGTCGAGCGACAAAGGGAAAAGGGGAACAAAAGCTAAGCGGTTGTGAACGTAACCTATGCCTATGAGTGGGACCCTTTGCACATGCTGCTCAAAGTGTCGGGCGGTCCAAGTCCTATAAGTGTGTAGGAGGGAACCTCGAAAAGACTAAGGGGTGCTTAAGGATACAACCAAATATGATGCATGGTGTGTAGAAATAGTGAGAAAAGGAGGAGAGTGTGTAGACCAGCTGAGAGGAGAAGGGCAACGCCTACCTCGATGAAGCTAGAGGACCATTGCATTAGGGAATGGATGCGTTGCCTAAGGATGATGCTTAGCCTGCGCATAATGGAAGAGACATCTCAAAGAACCCCCTGGACTGCTTGTGTATTGGAAGGAGCAATTGTATGAGAACACAACAAAGTATCGAGAAACGGACGCCTGCGAGTGAATAGCAAAACTGTCTCACGAGCGAGAAAGTTGACCTACATCCCCAATGTCAAAGCTCTCTCGCTCAATGGCCCACCCCCACGCATCTCAAAGCACTAGGTGGGGGTGACCCTGTGATGAATGGCTCCACGCCCTGAGCATGAGTGTGGGTGGAGCTGAGCCAACTGGGACCCGTGGAAGGATGGACTCAGGCTCGAAAGTCTAACAGGGTGAGGCCCTACACCTGACTCAAGCCCAGTACAGGCATTCAATTTTCATCCTCAGTGCTTGTGCTGCAGTGTGACTTGCTGCGACATTGTGTTCAGAATCCAAGATTGCGACTTTGCGACTTCGTGTCTTCGTCCGTCGCGTCGACTTGAGCCCGTGTCGAGTTGAGTGAGTGTGTGTGTGTGCTCTCACTCTCTCCCTCTCTCTCCCCCGGCCTCGCTACTCTGCCTCCGCCTCGTCACACTCGGATTCAGTCTTTTGGTTCTCCATTGGTGTAATATCGGTGCAATTCTGCTTTCTGGACAGTGTGGGGCTTCCTGGCTTTCAATGCAATTTTGCAATCTGTCATTTCGCTATTGCTCATTTTCCTTGCATATAATAATAAAATAATAAAACGAAAAATAATATTGTAATGATAATCATCATCATCATTATCATAAGAAGGCAAAGGCGATTGTGAAGAAGAAGAAGACAAAGGAAACAAGTTTAAGGTCGCACGAAGATTAAATAAAGGTACTGATAGCTTGTCCATAGGCTCGTTCAGGAAAGACTCCACTGGAATGCCAGAAATCTAAGATCTATTTCTGGCAAGCTGCTTATAGAGTTTAGATGATTGCACTTCATGCCTAAAGAGAACCCAAAGGCAAACATGAGAAGAACCTGGCAAATCAATCTTTGCTTTGGGATTGGTTTCGGAGCTCCCGTAGTAGTCTCCATTGACCCTATGCTCCCCAAGTGGTTAATGGGGATCCCCACTCTGCTCGGGTGCGTCAGGCTTCCGGTTCAACTCTGGTTGCGGGATCTGTCTTGAAATCAAGAAAGATATGCGGATGACTTCCTGGTTGGTGTCACCTGACCTAGAGGACGACGACTGGCACCTATGAACACCTATCTATATCGAACAGATTCTCAAACTACAGCGAACGCTACAATTTTCAGATTATGAGCTTGAATCTGCCTGATCAGTTAGCAATTACTCTACCCCGTGTGTGTAGTATGGAACTATCGGTCTCCTGCACAAGAAATTGAGTCATAGGTCCGGGCTTGAACCATGTCTACCTTAGCGGAGGGTCCACACGAGACTACGATGGAAGCTTCGATACCAATCCTGAAGTGAAGATTGATTTTCCCGCAGTCCTTTTCATGTTTGCCTTTGGGTTCTCTTTAGGGAGAAGAAGCAGCATAAAATGAGCGATGTCAATTACACATGCCTGATGGTGGTCCTTGCATCGTGATGATGAATCGGGATTGCTGATGATGGGCAATTGATGAAGAAGAAGAAGAAGAAGAAGAAGAAGAAGACGAAGAATGTACTCACTGTCTGTTGATGGGGCAGAGGCTGGGCGTGCTGCACTCAAGACCTTGGGCAACCTCCTGCAGCAGGGCCTCTCACAAACACACCGGCTGCTCACATTCCACCCCCGGTCTGCAATGAGCTGAAATGTCGACAGCCAGTGCATTTGTGCAACTCGTGCACCTGGAAGGGCCGTCCTTGCCAAAGCACCAACTGCGCAGGCCACTTAGGCCGTACAAAACACTGTTGGGGCCGACCAGAATGCCCAAAGGCTGCCCCTTTGGCATCTGCCCGCCGTGGGAAAGAAAATTGGCACACTGATTGTGGACTGGTGGGCTGGTCGCTGACAGGTAGGGGGCCACTGACGGCTTGCCTGACTGCTCGGGTAGTGAACGATTTCTCTTCAGCTTGCCTCAGTGGCAGCCCTGGTTTATGCTTGCAAATTCTGCTCTGAAAAATGTGGAATTTTTGCATGGGACTTTTGCTTGGCGGTCATGGACAATGGAAGTTAATTTATGAAATGCTGCTGTGTCTGTGGCATGCCTACAGATGCGCAGTCTGGAGATTGTTCTGGCCGGTACCATTCGACGAGAGCAGGCTGCACAGACTCTGCTGAGGAAAAAGGATGCTGAGATAGAGGAGCTGAGCCGGATGGTTAAGTTACGTGAGGGTGATGCCGACTGCTGCAGGATGGTGCTGAAAATCCGTGATGACAAGATCCGACGGTTGGAGGCGGTCGCAGATGGGCTCATAAAGAATGCTGATGCATATTTGCAGGAGGAGAACGAAAGCTTTCAAGAAGAGCTGGCTTTGCTACGCAGGAAGTTGGATAACCACCCTGAAGTTGCGAAGTTTGCAGTGGAAAACATGCAGCTTCTCGAACAACTCAGCAGGTATGTGTATGGTCTGTGGAGAGTCTGTGGAGGAATCATAAGCTATGGCAGATTCATGTGGTGGGTTTGTAACTTTGTAGCTGTGAAATCTATAACCCTGTGACACAGCCTTGTCTCGGCTGTCGGGGGGACTTGCAAGACACCAAGTTAAAGGTGTTGGCTGAATGGCTTAAAACTTGAAGGTTGAACTTCAAACTAGTGACTGCTGCTCGGATGCAGCTCTCTGAAAAGCAACCAGGATCTTCAGGGAAAAGGAGGAAACTAATAACCGTGCAAGTAGTTTGTTGCAACTCCTAAATGGAAGAGCATACATGGTATGGCAAAGAAAGTGAGCCAATCACATTATCACAACATATAGAAAATGAACTGCAAAACAGAAATGACATCAACGTGCAAGGACTCCTAGGGCAATGATTAAGAATCGCACCTATAATACTAAATCCTATTGTATGTGGAAGGGAGCCGACAAGCTGAAATTGTGCACAGCGGTAAGCCATGTGTTGCACATTTTTGAAGCTGGATTTCAGCACAGCAGTGCATGAATGTGGGAAATGCTGTGAGCCCTTTGTTAGCACTCATATGCAATTTAAGAGACTACCTATTACAATTCAATTTAATAGACTACCTATTACAATTGTGAGGACCTCGGATATGAGCCAAAGATGTGACCTTCATCCTCGAAGATATATAACTTTCTTCTACAATTCGGAACCTACCTAGTTTCTGTGTGTATAATAGTAATAATACTGTATATCCTGTAAACTGTGACATGTTGTGCAGGGCCCAAACATTTAGGACAGAGGTAAGCAGGTGTCACACTGTACTGGATCACCAATTAGCAGTGACCATGTTCACACAGCTTTCGAAGCCAGTTACTAGAACGACAACATGTTTTCTATGTATGCTTATTCAACATGTTATTCTGTTCTACGTGCGTACTCACAGGTACAGGGAAATCTGCGATCTTGGGGAGTGTGAGAGGTTGAGAGCTGAAATTGGTGATCTTGTCGAACAGGTATAATAGACATCTCCCAGCAGTTTCCAGAAATGGCTGTTATCCAATGAAATCAAGCTCAAGTACTATGTCAAGAACAATGCCCTATGGTTTACTAGATGCAGGAACGTTTTCATTGACACCCCGTTGCTTGACACATCATAATCTGGCCTAACTTCTGCTGATCATTGCACAGAGCATTTTGGACATCGATGTCTCCCTTTAATTAATGACGCTGTTGGCTGGGTCTTGCTGTCATTGCTTCACCACATGTGCAAATTAGATGCCCGCTTCTGACCCCGAAAAATGAACAAAGCAGGTGCGAAAAAGTAATGTGCAGAAAAAAAAAAGATTGACTGACACAGCTGTGCGAAAAACTGGCGGCGAATAGAAGAACAGCCCGTTGCTTGATACATCATAATCTGGCCTAACTTCTGCTGATCATGGCAGAGAGCATTTTGAACATTGACTCTCCCTTCAGTTCAGGACGCTGTTGGCTGGGTCTTGCTGTCAGTGGTTCACCGCATGTGCGAATAGAGTGCCCTCTTCTGACCCCAAAAAATGAAGAAAGCAGGTGCGAAAAAGTAATGTGCAGGAAAAAAAGATTGACTGACCCGGCTGTGCGATAAACTGGTGGGGAATAGAAGAACCAAGTGGTCCACATGCGTGCCGAAAAAAGGAATGCACATAAAGAAAAGAAGCCTAGGCCTAGCTAAGTTGATACAACCACAAAATGTTCAAATGCAGACCTGAGTTCCAATCCAAATGGAACTAGATGAATCAAATAGTTCTGAATCACCTGGGGCTGGTCAATTCCACACCAAAACCTCAAGGCCGCCACCCTTCTTTTTCTTTTCAAGCAACGACTTTCCCCAGCCACTGTGGCTCAATGGTACACCCATATGACTGTTGAGAAGGAGACCGGAGTTTGAAACCTAGTCCAATCAAGTAGTGCCTCGTACCAACTCGTCAAATGGCAATTCCCTACCCCGAGGCTGTTGGCCCATGGGCATGCAGCATGCATGCAGTATGCATGCTCGTACCCACACTAATGCATGCACACAAATGCACCCACACACGCGCATAGGGGGAAGCACATGTGGTGGCATGCACATGCTCGTGCATGCGCGGGCACATGTCGACACACACACACACATGCAGGCGTGGACACAGTCACAGAGAGCGCATGAGCGCATGCGCACAAGAGAGAGAGAGAGAGAGAGAGAGAGAGAGAGAGAGAGAGAGAGAGAGAGAGAGAGAGAGAGAGAGAGAGAGAGAGAGAGAGAGTTGGCATGTCCTTGTATGGTGTTGATGTTTATTGCCCTTGTTTTGACAGACCAGCGCCTGTGTGGTATCGAGTCTGGCGAAGTGGTGTTTTGCCACGAGGAAGGTCGCCAGTAGTAGGTGATAGTATGATGGCAGTCTGAGGTGCCAGTTGAGGAGCAGTAGATCCTGGAGGTAGAAATGGGAATAAATTTGACCATTGTAACCCTTGATTTAATTCTCTGCATGTGAATCGCCATATGAAAAGAAATCGTTCGCCTACCATTGTAACCCTTGATTTAATTCTCTGCATGTGAATCGCCATATGAAAAGAAATCGTTCATCTGGCTAGGTGACCAGGGGCGCCTGGCCCGCTGGCTGTCCATACGCAACTCATTATCCTTCTTCGACTCTTTGCTTGCCACTGTGACTCTCTGTAAACCAGTTTGTCTAAAGGGGGAGATCAATCGCTATCAGATTGATGATGAGGGACTTTATATTTGTTCCCGATTGACAGTCAGCATTTTCTTTGCACGCAATGCACGACGAAATTATGTAGTCCTAGATGTGCTCACATGAATTCTTGTTCAATGTTTTGTATTCTTCAGACTCGTGAATCCCTGTTGGAAGTGAGATTAGGACTATGATGAGCTTGTGCATACAGTATCTTGCTGTTCTGTTCGAGTCTTGTTGTGTCTGGTTTTCAATGTGCGCTTGCATCTTTGGCGAGCTAAGGTAGGACTCTGCATGTCAGTCTACCTTCTGCTACATTGTTTGCAGGAGGCAGACACATCTCAGTGCCTGACAGGGGCTCTTTTTGCACTCAATTTGATGTACATGGCAGTCACTGTATGTCCTTTACCTGCGCAAGTAATCCTTCAAACTGGTATCCTATGTGGAACAGGTTACAAGGGAAACAACTCCGTGGTGTTGCGTTGCATTGAGAAATGTTGACAACAAATGTCGAGGGGTTCTGATTCTAAATGAAAACAATCAAGAGAATAAAGAAACCAATTATAGGAATCAGATTGTTGTGTGTTGACTGGCTAGCTTGGCATGTGATTTTTACCCCCCGTTTTCTGTTTTTCTGCGTATTGTGGCTCTCCCGTTCTCACCATATCGCTGTCTTTTGCTTCTTGGGCAGGTTGCAAGTTTGTTAGAGTCAAATCGGCGAAGTTCCCTAATTTATGGAAAGTTTGGGGTGAGCATGCAAACCTAATCTCTTGAATGCTTGCAAGCATCTCTTTTCCTTTTTTGGCAAAGCTTAGCAGTCTGGAATATCTGCAGGGTGTTCCCTAATTGTCAGGGGATTGAGACTTGATGAACGAGCTTTTGACTTCTGCCCTCTGTCGCTAGCATAATTTTTACCACTGTTTTTAGGGATGGTGGCATTGATAATGATTCCTTCTGTACGGTGCCAAGGCAAACTTCCGAGGGAAGATCTCATGGATGCAATTTTTCAGGGTCTTAGGCTAGGTATGATATGTATCAACCATGCCGTGTGCAGAGTCGTGGCAGAGACTAGATTAGCGCGGCTCATAAACTTCAATGAATGATCATATTATACAAGCCAGAGTTCGTGTCACCAAGCGCTCATCAGCGCAGCATCATATTATACAGATTCAATGTTTGAGTCACCAGGCGCTCATCAGCGCAACACTAAGCAGTCTCGATCATGTATGTAGCTCTCTCTCTCCCTCTCTCTTGGCTTGTATCACACAACCTCGCTGCCTCTCTCTCTCTCTCTCTCTCTCTCTCTCTCTCTCTCTCTCTCTCTCTCTCTGATTGCTCATTCGCAGGAAGGTGAGTGCTAAGGAGCCCTGCTGGTCAGCGCTGTGATGTGGAAGACAGGAAGCCATAGCCGCACAGTAGTAGTAGTAGTAGTTGAGTATGTGTAGGAGGCGGATGTATCCAGGGTTAAGATCATCATAGTAGGGCTGGGACGGTCTTCTTATTGACTTGGACTTGGCGTGGACTTCACTTGGCCTCTGCTTGACTCGGCCTGTTTGACTCGGTACAGTTCGCCTGCGGCCTGTTTGATTTGGAATATTATAACTCGTTTTTGTGACTCTACTGAAGTTACCCCCTCTCTTTTACAATCCATTGATGACCAGGCCTTGTCATTATCATTGTATGCAGTACTAGATACGGATGGCTACTGCGGGTTCATGATGATGACTGGGTGTTGTGTTCCGGGGCAGAAGGTAGGGACTAACCCCCTTTCAGGGGAAAATAAGAAAACCTTTGACCTTTGTGGCCTGAGGGTACCCAACTTGACACTTTTCTGTTTTCGGCCGTCTGGGCCTTTCCCTGACTTGAGGACCTTGACCCTGAGACTCGAGTTTGGGGTAAGGTGAAAAGCCTTTCATAACCTGTTTCCCCCAGATGTTGTCAGGGCACATAAATCTCGTGAAGGTGATGAAGGTAGAGGAATGGTTGTTACAATCAACTTTCGCTCCAGGATAAAGTGTTCTGTAATACTGTGACCTTTGTCGTTGTTGCAGTCAAGTCAGTGACTAGTGCTGATGGTGTGTTCTTTCAGGTGGACAGCCAGCTGGATCCTTCACGGTCATTCATTTCAGGAACACAAAAGGGCGATGCGAGCAAGTTTGAGGTAGACTCATTCGCCATGTGCCAGCTTGTGTGATACAATATGGTGACTCAGCGTGTGTGTGTGGGTGTGTGTGGGTGTGGGTGGGTGGGTGGGTGGGTGTGTGTGTGTGTGTGTGTGTGTGCGCTCGTGCATGCATGTGTGCATGTGCATGTGAATGGGGTAGCTTCTAGGATGTTTTTAGCAATAGCGCTTCTGGTGTCGCGGGAGATCTTGTGGATTTTGGTGTAGTACTCACAGTGGCCTCGCTGTAGTGCTAGGACATCATCCGATTCTGCGGGTTCTGGTGTATTTTTGATTTGTGGTGGCATTGTAGGCCGTCGCAGAGGGCTCTTAAACTTTTTAAGACCATTGGCATGTGTGGTCGGTGCTTTTTTGTTAGTGGAGCCTTTTCTGTCATGTTGGTTTGTGGTTTTGTGGGACGACGTGGAGGGCTTATCCAGTTTTTTTTTGGACCTGTGGAGGTTGGGGTCGGTGCTTTCTTGCTGGTGTAGTCCTCCGCCCTTTTACGGATCGAATATATGTATATGTGCAAGTGTGCTGCTTCGGCGGCAGACGGGTGTGTGGGCACTTGGCGCTGAACCACACCAACGTAGCCAACCTTGCATTTTCTATTATATTGTCTATCTATACTTTCTTGTTAAGGATGGCTTGTTATGATTTGAGGAGGAAATGAGAGAGAGGATTTGGGGTGCTTTAAGAACACACACACACGCACACATTTTATGGTTTGAAATATATATGTATACAGGGTGGCCGACGTTCGCGACGGGCCGAACGCCCGAACCCGAACGCCCGAACGTTCGGCAGCCCCTCTCGACGCGTTCGGCCGAACGCAGACCCAAAAAAAAAAAAAAAAAAAATCCAAAAAATCTGAAAAAAATAAATGTTATGCAGACGAATAAACTAAACAACATTCGACTCAACGTTACATCCAAATTCTTTACCAAATTTGAAATACAAATCAAATACTAAAAATAAATAATGATGTCCTCGGTAGGCCTACGGGGCCCTGTCTGCAGCCTTACCCGCCCTAAGTGAAGG